GGCATACAAAAATTGCATTTGTCAACTCTCGTCAATATTTTTGAAGTGGTTTAGTTAATTTTTGTTCATCCTAAAGTTCCAGAGCTATTTTGGTATCTGAAGAAAATTTATAAAGATTCCTCTGTGAACAAATCAAATAAATAGTTTACTTTTAAGTCAAAAGACATTGGAAAGTGATGTATATCACAGTTGTATGTCATAAATGCATACTCTCTTTTTATGCAGGTTTTCACTTCATGGCTGTGCATTTGGTGCAATACGGGATTGGAGATAATGAGATATGTCAAGTGTTGTTACAAACCCTGTTGTTTGTGTAGCAGCTGTTTGAGCTTAGGCTCATGTTATCTTTTTTCTTTCACTGTATAAGTTTTCCAGTTTTGTGCCAAGTATTGGTTTTGCTGTTAAGCAGTAGAAAGTGAGTTTCTCCTGGGAGGTTTTCACCCGTGTTCATACACTAACTTGGTTTAGTACAGCGAAATAAGCAAGACTGAAGTGATTGCCTGCTAGTTCACGGAGCAGCTGCTGCTCAGGTGTTCAGATTATTAATTAGGTGCGTGACTGCAGTTTGAAGTTTGGATATTGAATTGCTGTACTCAGAGCTGGCTGATACCATCCTCCTTCCAACACACAGGGGTTGCTCTTCTTTCCCTATTGCCTACCCTCCTCCCTGATTTATGGAGTAAAAGGTTAGTCATCTGCTCTAGAATGACTTTCAGCTGTAACTTCCAGTTGACTTGATGGTTTCCCACTATGATAGTAGGATAGGAAAAATTCTTTATGAAGTTTCTATTATTTCTGGAATAATGCTCAGAGTATTCTGACTACCAGATCCATGTCTCTACAACTGCATCTGCATGTATATTTGAGTTTCTGGTTCACTATGAACCTAGGAGATTATAACGGTTGTTTGTCTCTGTAGTTCTCTGACTACTGAACTGTAACATATACCAGAATGCTGCAGATTATAGAGGTAAATAATTGAATGTTGCGTGTTCTTGTGTCTGCATTCCAATGGCACAAGTGTCCTCAAAGATAAATTAAGCTAACATGCAAAGTCTGATGTAGATAACACAGACAATATGCTAATACTGTTGTTTGTATCACTGGAATAATGTATGTTGAAGGCAACTGATGAGACATTGCACCAACTATATGTAAAGAGATAGCACGTAATTGTCTAACTTTCTCGAATTCCAGTAATCTTGAAATTTAATTTTAGTGTGTTCCTATGAAAATACTTTAGAGAGATTTCCCCTGCTGCTTTCTACATGTTTAAGAAGGGATTTTCTCAAAGTGCAATAACTGTCTAACCCATTTACTACCTGACTACCTTTTTCTAAATTGGAAAAGGTAAGCAACATGTGGGGTAATATCAAAACATGAAAAATATTTTTCTTAATTATGTAACTTCCATCTGTAATAGTGATTTTGGGTGCTACATTTGACTCCAGAAGTATAATTTTCCAACTGATATGGTCTTGGCTCTGTTATTTCAATAAGTACATAAGAAAATGTATCCGCAAATCCCCATGTGTTAAGAGGGAAAGACTTCTACTTCAAAAGGAATGGAACAAGTCTGTTAGAAATGAGCTTCGTGTTCCTAGCTTAAATGTGTATTTAAGTTCTTGCACATACATTTGGCTGGAGTTGGTGCTGTGTGTCTCATCTGATTATGTGTGAGCAGCCAAAGATAGCACACTGATGCAGCCTGTGTGCAAAGCAGCACCTGCATCTAAGTCATAAGTCTGGAGAAAAAGTTTTGCAAAATTGCTTTCAGAGATTTGGCCTCTCAGCTGGTCGGATTACTGTTCAGAGCTCTAGGACTCACTGGAAACCTTTCATTTGTTAAAGAGACCTTTTATTAAGAACATCTACGTGGGTGGATTTCACACCAAAAATTTCTTTCCCTTTGGGGCTCAGTTTTTCCTTTGTATTTGTTCAAACCATAGTAACAGTGTTTAGATTTCCCTTAACTGCAGTTTCACTGGGAGAGGGAACTTGCTCCTTCTTTCACTCAAATGATACGAAGATCTAAGTTATGTGGGTGTGATTGTGGTCAGAACAGTAACCTTTTGCTTTAAAAGTGTAACCAAGTGTATACTTGTTGAAAACAAGTCATTAACTTCTTTTTCTATAAGAGCTATTGGGAACTTGTCCAGCTTCCTGGGAAGGACTGGTGTGGTTTTTATTTTTTTGTTGACTGGGAGAGGTTTCCCATATTCCTTACCACATCCAGCTAGCCTGCTCTGGCCTGTTTTAGAAACCTTGGCCAGACTTGAAAAGACATCAGCTAGAGGCATTTATAAGCTGCACTTATCTCGTCCGATCTTGGTGTAATTGCTGAGGTGAATCACCTTTGTCCATTCCTAGTGTATGAATGGATTTCTTTCCTTTTCAATTCCAATGAAAACAATGGATATCAAGCCTTATAATTTGTTCCTAGTAAATCAAATGGATGGTAGGAGGCCCAAATTCTTATTCTGTTAAAAAAAAAAAAAAAAAGTTTTTGGCTAGTGCAAATTAATCATCATTCTGATTATCTTATTTTTCACATACACACTTTCTTCAATTATTGAGTGTTTTAGGAACAACACTGATAGTAACAATGTGCAATGAATAACATCGCACATCCTAGATGATGTAAAAAAAAGTAGATTCGGTTGGTATCACTAGGTGTGAGGCAGGGTTTCTAGAATTCAAATGTATATTGGAAATAGAGAATCTGTATTTAAAACTAATACATAGAATCAAACTTCTCCCCAAACTAATAGGTGCTGGACATATTACAGAAACATGTTCAGTCTCTGATAAAATTACTCTTAAGATAAATGGGAACTTTGCACTGCTCTGCAGTCATATCTGTTGCTATATGAGGCTCTGAATTGGAGATACAGATGCTTGTTAAGGGCAAACAAAATAAAAGGAATCATTTAAGGTGTTCTCAGGAGCGGAAGTTGCTGATTGTACTCAGACTCCAAAATTAAATTCTGCTGCAGTACATAATCTTATTTTTGGCTTTGCAGGAAGTTGTATTCTTATTCTTTGGCCAAAATTTATCTCATACACATTTTTCTCACTGAAGTGATTTGTAATCCTTCTAATAAAGGAGAAGATTTTTCAAATGTGGCATTTCTATTATTTAAGTGATTGGAAAAAGCAGGAAATACAATCTTTGATTTTATTGTGTGTTTACCTACAGTAGACACAAACCATTCTGTGACCCTGTTTATAAGGCATGAAGTTACTTTTGTTTTGCTTACCCAAATGGCCGAAACACTGCCAGCAGTATGTCTGGAATGTTATTTACTTGGTCCATTTCTGCAGTTTTTCTTTGTAGCACTGTGCACATGCCACAGTTAGGGGTCATTTACTTACAACTGACCAAAGTAATACCCCCGAAGCTGCAGTTATTCTTCTCATCAGGGGCTTTATAATAAAAGGTTCATCATGTTCTGCAGCTTCTGTGCTCACGCTTTCCTTCCCATCTCTCCCTCCCTCACTTCTCCTAATCAGAATTGCTTTTGTCAAAGATTTGGAGAGCTGCTGTTTTTTCTTGCTTTGTTCTCTGTGACTTGATTCTTCTATTAGTGCTTTAATTTCCTACATTGTTTCTTACAATGCCAACTGATTGAAATGTATTAACTTGCTTTGCTGGATGACTATTACTTTTTTATAAGGAGATGGGTATTGAATATGTTTTTCTATTTAAGTGTGTATCATATTTTATGGTCTCAGTTCCAGACATTCAACTGGTTGCGAGAAAACTGTGGGTGTTTTAACATTTCCAACGGAAGGGTAGGGCGGGTGGGGAAACTCTTTGGAATGTGGATGAATAATATTTGACTCCTGGAAATGTCTTAAGTCCGTGTGCTCCCATCCCACGTGTGGAAGGCTAGACTTAGTTTTAAAGACCTATGGTCTTGAAGGTATTACCATTGTGCTTTATTTACTTTCTAACTCGCATGGAGTTGAGAAAACAGTTGAAATGCAGATTATAGATGCCAAGGGTTAGTGCAGGAATACTCTGCAGGTGGTGGTCTTGGGTTGTGCCCTTGCTACTCCCATCAGTGCCCTGTTAATCCCGTGTGTGTTAGTTGGAGGGCTTAATTCTGCTGATTTTCTTTCCTAGATGTACTTAATTTCAAGAGTTATGTAACTTTTGAGACGTTAACATCTGTAATGTCTATAAGCATAGAAGAAATTGCCTTACAGCAGAACATGAGTTGGGAACTGCGGTAACTTGCAATTCAGTCTAAGTGTTTTCGATAGCAGAGCAATAGTTCATAACAGTTTTTTCTCCAATTTCTTCTTAGAGTACTTAAGTCCAAAGCAGAGTAGATACAGATTGGGGTTTTGTCCCCTGTTGTGAAAAGCAGTTACTTATTGAATATCAAGTCTCCTTCTCACTTCTGTGCTTGTGGTAAAGGATGTTGTCCTTCCTCTGCATTTGCAGAAATGTTAAACTCTTATCATCAGATAGTATCTCTTTAGCTTGTTTTAAGTTTTAACAAGCACATGTGCTTTACTATACATGGGTATTGTTGCTTTTGGATGGTGATTTGTTTTCTTTGTAAAATGTTTCTGCTTTATTTATTTCCAGCTTTGATCATTTAATGGATAAATACTTGCTGCCTATATTCACACCTGCTCATCTTTTATTATCCTGGCTTACATATAAATGCTTCTATTGAAATAAATCAGTCTTGTAATTTAAAAAATATTAAACTTTGGTTTAAGTTACTTCTTATGTGTAATAGCTTCTTGACGGTTGAATACAAAACAACTGCTTGGCAGAATTTGAGTTTGATTCTTTGCCAACCAACAATAAAGTACAACCTAATTCCTAGAAACGCCTGAGCTATAAACTATCATTCATGACCTAGCATGCATATAGTAATAAGAGGCTCACAAGGCTAATAAAGTGTCTATATTATTGTGGCCAGACAATACATGTTGTAACAGGTCAATAATGTATTTTGTCACTTGTTCCTATTGTGCAGCCCACACATCATCTTCTTGTCACAGAGTGTACTACCGGGAGGGAGCCATCTCTGTGGGACACGTCTGTGCCATGAAATTGCTCATGCTTGGTTTGGACTGGCCATTGGTGCTCGTGATTGGACTGAAGAGTGGTTAAGTGAAGGGTTTGCCACTTTTTTTGAAGATATATTTTGGGCTAGGGCACAACAGGTAAGGTGATGATACATAACTTCTCAACTGAATTATGTGGAAACCAAAATTATATACTCTGCTGTTAATTAGATATAAATTAAACCTTCTGTGATGAAGATAAGCCTTTTAAAAGAATATTGGAGTTTGCATGCTAATTTGATTTAAAAAAAAAAATCCTTCCTGATCCACAGTGAACACTAATCTTTACAGAGGTAGAGGTCAGTGCAAATGAGAGTGTAAACATCTGTTTGTCAATGATTACCTTCCCATAAATGAACTACTCAATTATTAAAATTCAGCTATCAAAGAGTTGCTCTGCATTCTTTCCACTTGTATAGTGTTCCTGAAACTGCAACAATCAGCAGAGTCTTACTCAATATTGGTACCAATTCCTGGTACCTAATGAAAATGGCCTGGATTTGTCCAGTGGATAGCCAAGACGCATACCTCAAAACAAAATGGAAGCTGATGAAAAAGGGCACCAGCACTCCCACTTTTTTTTCTCTTATGCTGCTCACCAAGAGTTACCATCATGTCAAAGGCTTAGAAATCATTGTCTGCCTTAAAGTGAAAAGCTCATAAATTGCATGTCAGCTAGTAAAGTGGTTTTCCGATCCCCTTCTTGTTTTGTTGTACCTCTGCTACATCAAATATTTCATTTGTTAGTGATTTCTTCCTGTGCCTGTGTCAGGCCCTGGTTCTGCCATCTGTGGAAGAACAGGTGGGACTGGGAACTGACATCATATACTCTTCTGAGCCTCCGTTTCGTTAAGTATCAGCCATATTTATAGCACCAAACAAAACAGAATTCCTCGTCACTTACCATGTTTCTGGAACAAGAGAGGAAGGCTGTCCAAACACTTTGCTTTTCCCTTCTGGTCCTAAAACTCATTTCTGCCCTTACGTTGCGCATCCCTGCTCTGCTGTGAGCTGTTTGCATTAATTCTACACTTTTGTGAGTCACTTGAAAGCATTTTCATTGTAGTAGACACCCTTCCATGTAGCTGAATTGAAAGGAGTTAAGCAATAAAACAGGGTGATTAGTGCCCTTGTTAATTAGTAAGGTCAGAAAATTGCTTTTTTCCCCCCTTTTTTAGAATTACTGAGTAGTTTTGGTGCTGTGCAATCATGCAATTGTAGAATTATGATTATATTCCATAGTGCCTGGCAATAATTTCAGTTGTGACTGAAATATTGGTATAACACAGGATAATATTAGCTGCTTTTGCTTTCTCCCATCTCCCATCTTTTCTCATAATAGAGAAGCATAAATTAGTTGTTATTTGTAAGATGACAACCTGGCATTTATTTCATCAGCATGCATCTCTGCTAATATTACATAAATAGGGGGAAATACAACAGGAAGCTTTCTCGAGTGTGGCAGAAGTAATAGGAAAGAGGAGTGAAGTCAGACACAAAGCAGCTCTTTGCTTTCAAGCTAGGAAGGGTAAAGATGCAACCAAAACCGATATGCCAGGTATCTGTAGTGTACATTCAGTTCACTTAATGCCAGTCATGAAAGCGAAAACAACATGCCCATCTCTCTCCTCAGGCAGAAATATTTAAGCGACTGTTGATTTGATGCGCACAGTGAGGCTTCTGTTTTCCTTAGTGCTGCTATTAACTTTCATAGCAGCAACCGTTATTTTTTGGTTTGGGTTTTGTTGGGTTTTTTTTTTTAAATCGTGGGTATTGGTACTGTTTCTGCATCTTCTGCACGTTAAAGGGAAACAAAACAAGTTTCTCTTTCTGAAAATTATTATCGTCTGCTGGGAAACAGCAATCAGTGATCTGTGTTTTTTGTATACTGAGCAGCTGTCGCATGATGAAGTAAAAGGGCAGCAGGAAATGAAAGTTAGAGGAGCAGAACTCTGAAGAAGAGCTGCAAGTTTTAAGGTAACAATATGACAGTGTAATCTTTGCTTTTGCAAGTTCTCTCTCTTCGGTTTTCCAGCATTTTCTCCCTTCAAAGATACCCATCCAAATCATCTGATTAAATCTACTGCATTTCCTTGTTCCCTTCTGAAGAAATAGGAAAAGTCAAATTAAATTGACTGGGTTATTAATCTTCTAGATAATGCAATTGCTGTTCTCTTTGTTGTAGAAAGCTTTCAAAAACTATGGGATTTAGTTTGATATAAAATGTCTCTAAGCAGTTTACTAGAGCCTCTATTCAGGGAAAAAAAAGGCCATTTCCTGAACAAAGTTCACTGATTGAAGCCGTAACAGATTCATTTTCTGTAGCTGAAGACAAGCATATACAAGAGTATGGCATCTAACTGCCAAGCTGAATGAAGCTTTAAAAAACAAAGGAAAAAACATAATGAACTATATAAATCTAATTTCTTTTTAGAAATTACTAATAATGCTAGGTAAACAAGATTTTGGTCTTTAGGTACCAGATGGTGAGCTCAAGGCTTCTTCTTACATAGCTAAAGACATTAGATCAAAAAAAGATTTGTGCTTTTCTAATGATTAATAATCTGGACTGTTCCAAGTGGTGTCTTGGGAATTTGCAATAGTCTTTTATCTTGAGTGGCTGCCTAACATCTCCACTGCTTGTCTCCCCACAGTCTTTGACCAAGAAAAACAAGTTTACTAATCGTAGCTCAAATTAGCCCTACACTGACCAAATCACGGAAGTACAGGGTCGGATTTCAGGAGATAACATAGACCCTTCTCCTGCCCTGAAATACAGGCAGTATACACAGACCATCTTAAGCAGGTTTTTACTAACATGTTCTCAGAAACCTCCAATAAAAAATTTCCACAGTACCTAGCTAAGCGGTTTTAGTGTTAACAGTTTAAAAATGTTTCCTAATGCACAGCTGAAATACCGTTTATTTCAAACAATGTAGATTTCTTCTTTTATTTCACCAAGTGGAAGTGAAGGACAAAATGATCTCTGGCTTCTATATAATCAACTTTTAAATGTTTTTGGAAGACTGTTGCCATTTCATTCATTTTGAGGTCTTCCCTTCTTTTTGTGCTTTCCCATTAGGACCGAAAAGCCTTTTATATTTGGGCACTAGATACTGTTCACCAACATAGAAATTCCTCTCTATGGCCTCGTGTCATCTGAAAATGTGTCACCAACTGCATAACTGTAGTCTTTCACTGCTCTGTTTTACTTCATGTTTAGTGATGAATTGTGTATCCTAAAATTTTGATGATAGGTGTAAATGCAGAAGCAACCCTTATCACTACCTGTCATACAGCTGCTGCTAACACGACTACTGATTGACAGTTGCAGGGGGTTTTGTTTGTTTGTTTTAAAATAAATTATTTTTAGGAACTTTGGTTCTTATGATGCTTATCTGGAAATATGTTTTCCATTTTCAACATTATGGAATCAAATTTGTCATCTTTTGCATTAATCATGTAGTTGTTACTTTTAATGAAATGTGTATGTACTGTAAATTTTTTAAATAGTTTTTCCAAGGTCCAAAATATCCTTTGTAGTTTGTAACTCAGGAAGGATTGATTTATCTTGAAATTGAAACTTAAGCTTTCTATTGACTTCCACATAAGAAGACATAAGTCTGTGTAATAAGCATGCTGCTTGGCTTTTGCATAGTGGTATTCTCCATGCTAATACGAAAGAATGACAAATAATTTCTTATTTGAAAAATATGCCTCTAATATACACTTCAGGAGAGGAACATGATGCCATCTCGGGATTCTGGCAATCTCGTCCTTTCTAATGTCTCTAGTTTTCCTGTGGTTGCATTTAAGGACTTTTCACTGGTTTCAGTCAGATATAAATATTCTCTACTGTTTTTGTGGCATGGACTTGAATAGGTTCTCTCTTTGCATGTTTACTGCTTTTTTTTCCTTTCTTCTTCCTTCTGAAAGTATGTCCATGTGCTTTCCAGAGTTATAACGTATGAGAGAGATTTCAGTCTCGGCATTGCACTGGGTTTTCTGTCTGTACTGAGGCTTGTGCTAGTTCAGGCTTGTGTTTTTATACAAGGATATTAAAAGTAAATGATAACTGTTACTTCTTGCTAATTATGTCAGAAAGAAAAAAATCAGCCAATGCACTCTTCCCAAGCATAAGCTTATTCTTCAGTTACTTTTTTGTTCTATGCTGGACAATCATATGATTTTCCATGCTTTCTCCTGACAGCAGGAAAACCCTGCCCCAAACTTGTCAGCTGATCCTATTAACTTTTGATCCAGCAAATGAATACCTGTTCAGACTAGGTAAAAGCCACTCAGCAAACTGATCATCAGCGTGATGTTTCTTCATTATAGGTATTTGATATTATGTTATAGTAGTATCTCATAAGCTACCTGTGAAAAAAGAAGCCAGGTATGAAAGAAACAGATAAGTGTCTTTTTAGTAGGCAGCAGCTCTGAAAGGCAGCACCAGCAAATCTTAGTATTAACGAAGGAATTTGTGGCACTGTAGTGCTCATAAAGGATAAGACTTCAGACAGAATCCTGTGTATTTTCTCACAGAGCTTGAAGCAAACCTGCAGGGATAAAAGCACCTGTGAAATATGTCCTGGCACTCAGTCTGCTGGCAAGCATCAACACCAGTACTCTTATCCAGTCTCTCATGTTATGAAAGCAAAGACGACTAGAGAACTCCATTTCGTTCTGTAGAATAAAGCTGGTGTTGAGATTATGTCATGTCCTGGCCCTTATGACTGAACTTCAGTTTGTGAGTCTTCATTAAGACAAAGCAGTGTTGATATCAAACTCTGAATTTGTCTCTGAGTTCCACTTGAGTCAAGTCCATTTCCTTGCTCGCTGACTGCTCTGTAGGTGTTTAAAGACTTTTATTCTATCATGGAGAGAGGAAACGTGCCTCTCAGGAGGTCTCTCGTAGTCTCTGCATAGGTTTTCATGACTGCCTAGGTAATTTGCTTTCTAGTGATTGCTGTGAAAGGAATGTCAATAATACCTATTGTTTTTAGTTGTTGCTAAGTGATATTTACAATATTCAAGGACTTTTTTCAGCTTCCCATAGAAGAATAGACAGAATGACAGAATGGACAATGAAATATTCCATACCATAGACACCATGTTCAGTATATAAATGGGGGTTATCTGGGGAGGGTGGGAATATGCAATCACTGCTCGGGACAGTGCCAATTCACCAGAATGTGAGAGTGACCCATATCATTATTATTATTGTTTTTTATTCTTATTTTTCCTTTTCTGTTATTGGTTCTATTAAACTGTCTTTACCTCAGCCCATGAGGTTTCCCCCCCTTCTTGGAGGAGAAAAAAGGAGGGATGATCAAGCGGCTGCATGGTTCCAGTTGTCAGCTGGGGTTAAACCATGACAGCACCGGAGAATTTAATTACCAAGGACTTCCTGGTGAATTTTACTTGTACTTTGTACAATGTACTTCTCAGCCCAGCAAACGAAAGCAGCATCTTTTGATTCCCTCAGAAATTTGCCAGTATCTAAAATATGCCAGGTAGCAGCTTGCATACCTTGAATCAGCTTGCCTTTAGCATTATGCCTAGCTTCATCTACTAGCTTAGATGCCAGGTTTTGTAGGTCAGTGTAACTTTCAGTCTCTGCCTTCAGTGTGTTGTAAATACACTAAGCATTGCTTTAGAATACTGTACTGAAGTACTGACAGCAGAGAACAGGGTAACTTTCTGAATACTTACTCTTCTGCTGACATTATTAGGGGATATATGCATCCTTTGCAGAAGGAAATTCTTCAGTACCATCCCCCAGATGGGATACTGCTTTCTAGTCACCTACTAGGATCTACACAGGCACAAAGTTGGAGGAGGAAGGAAGGAAGTATGGTTGCCTAATTTAGAATAACTGTAATTATGGGAGGTATTTCAGTTTAGTGTGGATCCTCCAGCCTGTCCATTTTCCAAAGTCTACAGACTGGGCTATTCATTATGAGAGAAATGAAGCAGTTTTAGCTTTTTATATATGCAGAGAGCAATGAAAAGTCATGTATAGAATGCCATCCTTCCAGGAGAAGGATCTAGAATGGAAATAGGTGGACCTCTGCTCTCCTGCAGTGGGTCTGCAATGATTACATTGTCTTGAAGAACTGGAGTTACCATAGGATAAGAAATCAGTTATTGATCTCATCCTTTCAATGCTGAAGGAAGATCCTCCTTGAAAGAGAAAACAAATTGTAACATGGTAAAGGACAGTGTAAAATTGAATCTGCATTTTGTTTTTCTATTTTGTTTCAAAAAGTTGTATTTTATCAAAATTTTACTGTGTGAAGTGGATTTCGTGTGCAGAGATCCTAAATATACTGCCTACAGGGTGCAAAAAACAGCTTAGCACTCTGGACAAAACTCTAATATGAAATGATGACACAGATGCAAAAAAGGAAGAATGTTTTCCTCAAAGCAGACATAGATATGAAAAAAATTTAATCACAGGGACTAGCTCATGAGAAGTTTATGAGTGATGTGAAGAATCCTGCACTGCTGTGGCCTGTGTTGCCCCTATTCTGTAGAAGTGTGAAAAAATATGTTTGGTTTCCAAGACTGCCTATTTCAAAATCCACACTTATAATTGGAGAGGTTTTTTCAGTCACAGGGTTAGGCTCCTGAGACAGACGTCTGTTCTCAGACCACTGCTAGCTGGGATGTTTCTGGATGGAAGAAAAAGTCTAAAGGGCTCTTCAGTACTATGCCTGTGAAGGCCCTGCCTAGAAATGAAGAAAAAAATGTTTGCATAGCTTCTCTTTAGTTTCACTCTGTGCTTGTAAGAGCCTAGAAGTCCTGCACACTTTCCTGCTGTAGATTTGTGGTATACCAGATGCTATGTTACACTTTAAAATCAGGCAGTGAAGTAGGTTTGTTCTAGACATTGTCTGTAAACCCCAAACCTCTGTGTGTGTGAAAATCTTTATCTTTTGAGATGTCAGCTACTTTTCTACCAACCCCAAACAGCAAAAATAGAATATTATTTCTTCTGCAGCATGTTGCATGCACATAAAAGAGGTTATTCTTGAAGATATAGTCATGTAAGCTGTTAAGCCAATGTTCAGGTATAAGAAGAGAAATCTCTGCTTGAACATAATAATTTCCCTTCCCCTTCCCCTTTCCCCTTTCCCCTTCCTCCCCTCCCCCTCCCCTTTCCTTCTTCCTCCTTCCCCCTTCTTCCTTTTCCCTTCCCCCTTCCCCCTTTTTCTTTCCCCTTTCCCCCTTCCCTTTTCTCCCTTCCCCATTTTCCCTTTTCCCTTCCTTTTACCTCCCCTTAAAATGTCTTTTTATGTTTCTCTTTGTCCAGAATGTGTCTGCAGTGTACAATGGCATGCAAAGTGATGTCATGCTGGCAGTGAGAAGAGTACACTAACTTAGTAATGAGTTTCATTTGTACCCCAGCTGTCTGGTCAGCTATGTACAAAATTGCATTAAAACTATGAAATTTGTTTGTTTGTCTGTCTAAGCCAAGTTATTTACTTAGGGTAAAGAAAAAGACTGAACTAGTCACAGGTGTCTAAAGTTACTGTGCCATTCGCGATGCTTTCAACTATGAGAAGGTATAATGTATGAGTTATTTTGTTACTTACTTATCCAAGACTTAATTAGCGTGATACCATTTTAGGCCTAAAAAGGACAGCACAGGAGAACTGAGTGAGTCTGGAGCATCCGTTGTCAAACATGGTCTAAAAGCAGAAAAAATCTTCATGCAGGTTCACTATTTGAAGGTGAGTGTTGTCAGCTGATTTTTATTGAAATTGCTTTACTAATATGATATGATATGTCTTTCTTCTAGACATCAGCAAATTTGTAGCATCCTATTTGTTTCTGACTTGATTTCTTGCAGGGTTATTTCCTTTTGCGGTCTCTGGCAAGGATAATAGGAGAGGCTTCATACCTTGCATCTTTACGAAAATTTGTCCATAAGTTCCATGGGCAGCTTGTCCTTTCTCAGGTACTGTACATGGGATTGATCCTCACTGTCTGAAAAAGTAAATGACCTAAACTGTCAGTTTGACTATGTAGATCAGCACTTCTGGTTGTAGTGAAAAAAGAGAGCTAATTGTGACTTGGCAATATTGGTGAAATTCCTACCTGCTAGAGGGAAGAACATTTTTTTCAGGGTGATACATAAATCAAATACCCTGCTAGTATCTGATAATGTAAACAATGGGTGATTTATTTTTTTTGTAAACTTAATGTTTTACAAGGTCAATGTTCGTAGGTGCTGGTGTTCTCAAAGATAATAATTTATTGTACTGGAATTGTCTCCTGTAGTCTTTTAGCTCATGGGTTTTGGTTGTGATCAGTCAATCTTTTCCCTGATACCTCCCTGTTTTTGACACAGAGTAAGAATCTAGCTGAACAGAACAGAGTAGGAATCGAACTGGAAATTTCTATAAATTTTAACAGTGTGTGCATGTTATATTTCTGACTTTATTTCCTCCATGTCTGCATGCGGCTTCATTTAATGCTTATAATTTCACAGTCTTTCCTATGAGGATGTTATCTTTCTCACCAGGTAACAGTGATGTCCCCATTACTCCGTGACATTGCACCCACCTGTATTACAGTCTTGTCACAGCCTTTGTATAGGTTTCTTCATCAAGGTCCATGCTCCCATGCTTTCTTCTCTTACTGAAGTATTAATCTACAAAGGATGTTTAAGATGTGCTGTTTTTTTCTTTCAGTAGACTTTCTCTGACAGTGATACCATGCAGTGGCAGTCCACTCTGAAAGGCAGTTGCTCTCATGTAACAGGATTTCTTCCCGGATTGGAGAAGGCTTGGTTGTAAAAAATAATGTGGAATTAGGAATGGGAATCTGCCCGCCCTAAGTGCAACTGTATATATTATTCACTTGAACTACAGACTTAGCTTGTTCTCTTCCTGGCATAAATGGTGTATAATTATTCCATGCAAAGCAGAACAGCTTCAAAAGGAAAGACTGAGCAAGTCACACCATAGTATATTGTACCATGTATTATGTAGAGAACCCAACTGGGGTTATAAATAGAAATCTACCCCTCCCTAGATCTTTCTGAAAAAGTCCTGTAACCACTGGCTGTAGCATTAAAAGGAGTACTGCCTTGCACTCCGGAGTTCTGTTTTGAGAAGGGAGTCATAGAATAGTTTGGATTGGAAGGGACCTAAAGGTCATCTAGCCCAACCCCCCCTGCAATGAGCAGGGATATCTTCAATTAGATCAGGTTGGTCAGAGCCCCGTCCAACCTGACTTTGAGTGTTTCCAGGGATGGGGCATCTACCACCTCTCTGGGGAACCTGTGCCAGTGTTTCACCACCGTCTTTGTAAAAAATATCTTCCTTATATCTAGTTTAAATCTTCCCTCTTTTAGTTTAAAGCCATTACCCCTTGTCCTATCACAACAGGTGCTGCTAAAAGCTTCATCCCCATCTTTCCTGTAGGCCCCCTTCAAGTACTGAAAGGCTGCAATAAGGTCTCCCCGGCGCCTTCTCTTCTCCAGGCTGAACAACCCCAACTCTCTCAGCCCGTCCTCACATCCCTGTGATCATTTCTGTGGCCCTCCTCTGGACCTGCTGCAACAGGTTCCATGTCTTTCCTGTGCTGAGGGCTCCAAAGCTGGATGCAGTACTGCAGGTGGGGTCTCACCAACGCGGAGTAGAGGGGCAGAATCACCTCCCTCGACCTGCTGACCATGCTTCTTCTGATGCAGCCCAGGGTGTGGATGACCTCCTGGGCTGTGAGTGCACATTGCCAACTCCCGTCTGATTTTTCATCCACCAGTACCCCAAGTCCTTGCCAGCAGGGCTGTTCTCAATCCCTTCATCCCCCAGCCTGTATTGATATTGGGGGTTGCCCTGACCCATGTGCAGGACCCTGCACCTGCCCTTGTTGAACCTCATGAGGTTCACACAGGCCCACTTCTTGAGCCTGTCCAGGTCCCTCTGGATGGCATCCCGTGCTTCAGGAGTGTCAACCACACCAGTCAGTTTAGTGTCATCTGTAAACTTGCTGAGGGTGCACTCAATCCTACTGTCTATGTCATTGATGAAGACATTGAACATTACTGGTTACAGTATGGACTGCTGAGGGAAACCAAATGTCACCGATCTCCATCTGGACATTGAGACATTGACCACTACCCTTTGAATCCGACCATCCAACCAATTCCTCACCCACTGAACAGTCTACCCTTCAGATACATGGCTTGAATTGGTTACACCCTGTAACCATTGCCTGTTGTCCCACAACTTGTCACGGGCAAGCCTGATACCCCCTCAAGCCTAGTTTAAAGTTCTGTCAATGAGCCCTGCTAGCTCGTGAGCAAAGACCCACTTCCCCCTTTCAGAAAGATGAACCCCATCTGACACCAGCAGGCCTGGCACCATGTAGGCCACCCCGTTACGGAAAAAAACAAGATTGTGGTGGTGACACCAGCCACAGGGCCATGTATTGATAGACTGGGCTCGTCTGTTTCTTCCAATGTCACTGCCCACAACTGGGAGGAGAAAAATAACCTGTGCTCCAGACTCCCTTACCAACCATCCCAATGCCCTGAAGTCTCTTTTGATCCCTCTTGGACTAGGCATTGCAGCTTCATTGCCACCAACATGGAAGAGCAGCAGTGGTAATAGTCCAAGGACTGTACCAGGCTAGGAAATTTCCTAATGATGTCTTTAACTCAGGCCCCAGGGAGGCAGCATACTTCCCTAAGAGGAGGGTCTGCCCAGCATGTTGGACCTTCTGTTCTGCTCAGAAGGAAGTTGCCTACAGCTATAACCCATCATTTTTGCCCCATGAAGGTGGCAGCGGTAGGCCTGTCTGACCCTGGCAGCACTTCTGGTGAAGAGGGACTGTCATCCACATCATCATCCATTGACAGGCCTTCTACATCCAGAGCCTCATACCCATTGTACAGAGGCACTTGGAAAGGTGGGTTGAGCAAGGAGGGGGTTCGCTTGCTGCCCCAAGCATGGACCTGCCTCTTTTCGCTCCTGTCCTTTAAGCTACCGCGTTCAGCCTATTGGGGGGAGGATACAGGATCCCATTGATCTTGGGTTTTTCCTTACGGTTGTTACTATCTCAGGGAGGGCAGAATATGGTTCCACCAGTCTCTCTCTTTCTCAGACTCCCTGGTGCTGGAATGACATAGCTTTCTGAACTCAAAGATCTAAGAAATCCCATCATTAGTGATGAATCTGGCTTTCACCATGGCACTACAGCTTGTGGCTCCAGTAATGCTGTGAAAACAACCATTCATGGGGGTGTCTGTGAACCAGGTCACTGAACTCATCACAGTTAAAAACAGTCCTGGAACAAAAGGCATAACATGACAAATACTTGGCGTCACTAGAAGAGTAGTGTGATCAGAGTGAGGGGCAGGGGATGAGAGAGAAGGGGTGTGAGTGAATTTCTGAAACCAGTTTCTTTGCTGAAGTCTGTCTTTTCTGGAGTTATGGTTGAAATCTTTGAGGGGACTCAGGATGGTGATAAATGTCTCCTTGCAACCCAGAGGAAGGGCCTCTGATTTTGAGGGAAGGGGGTCTCACACTTTCCTGTTTCTTCCAGCCACGGTGATTCTTTGCTCATGTGCGTGCTGTTTTGAATCTCATTTTTATGGGGTGAGATGTATGCCCATGTATCTTACAAATAGCTCACAGACCTGTGGATTCTTTCATATGTGAAGTCACCCAGAAGTTAGGTGCAGTAGCTCTAATGCAGCAGCTCTGCCCTGTGGAGGAAGGTTTGGGGTGTTAAGGGAGTTAAGGTTTCCACTGCTGCAGCTGTTTCCTGTGCCATGTTACTGAGACTCTGAGCAGTTGTGTTAGGCATAGTCTGGAAAATGCCAGTGCCTGTATGAGCCTTGTCTACATTATGGTGTCCAAAGCCATAAATATGACGCTTCACTATTACACAGCTGGAAACTTTTAGAAAATTACAGAAATCATGAAACTGCTAAAAACAAGAAGCAACCCAGTGTTTTAATCTGGTCATAAGAAAGGTGCTTGCATTTTGCTTGGAAAAACTTAAGTTGTTGCTCCTGGTTGATGTGAGATGAGTGTGTCAGTAGACTGTTCAAATGCTGCAAAATGTCTTAGCACACCATATGATAGCTAGATTGCTTTGTAATTGAACTACTCATCTACTAGAGACTTCTCCCTTTGTCTAGCACTCTGCTATGAAATGTCAATTTGTAGCTTATCTAACTCCAGTCTCATAAGATGAAATACTGTGTGTTGTTTCTGCACTCAGAAGCAACCATTTTGGTTATTGGATAAAAAATTGTTGTTTTTTTAATTATTCAAGTAAGAGTAAGTGATGCTTTTATTTCAGGTTTCTTAGGCTACTTTTTATTTGACTATGTGTAATACATCCACGTCCATAGCTATATATTTAATGTAGGTAAAAAAAAAGATACTTTTCTTCATTTGAAGATACTTGATTTGGTGGAGAAAGAGCTGTGTACTATATAACGTTGATTGTGTGCTTTTTGCGCTTTTACCTTGTTTCACAGCAACCTAAATCCTGCTCCTGTTGAAGTTGCTGGGAAGAGAATTTTAACATCATCCTGTTATTTGGTCACTGTGCTAAAAACGCAAGGGGTTAGAGCTATATAAAACTGTAAATGCATTTAGGTAGATAAGCAGTCACATCAGGAATTGCAAATGCAGAAGCAATGAAGTCAAGTTAGTACAAAGTTTATTATTCAAGTTCCTTCTTGAACAAACGTGCTGTCAGTGTTTAAATGAATAAAATATTTAAAATAAATAGAGGTTCAAATGGTAAGTTTAAATATCATACTGTGGTACTTTCACCTTGTCCAAAATAATTGTAAAAGTTCCCAGCTTCAGGAATTGTGGGGATGGGGGAAAGTAAAAACAGTGAAAATAATTGCCCATGTTCTGAATACTAGTCTTGTTTTCAGTGGTGTTTGTAGTATTTTTCCTAGATGGGAGCCACAGGTGCAAGGAA